AAAAAAAAAGTTCAAAAAAAATGAATAAATAAACATAGTAACTTTTTTATTCTCATTATTTTTATCGGGATTATATACTAATAAGTTTACAAGAACTTTTTTTTTCAGATGTTGTTGTTATATGTTGTTTTTTTGAAATGTTGTTGTTAAGTTATACTAAACCAAATAAAAATCTGCTATTTTTTTCTTTATTAAAAACATTGCAGAATTTTGTTGGTAAAAAAAGTTTTATATTTTTGTATTATTAGAAGAAAAAATGAAAGAAATATATAGAAGAAAACTGTTGTATAATGCTATTTTTTGAGCGATAAAAAAAAAGGGAAAAACATTGAATTCATTTTTTATCTGTAGTAATACTGTTTTTTTTTTTTTTTTGACTTTTAATTGAATAATGTTTTATAATTTGCACATAGATGAAACAATTGTTTTTGCTTAAAAAAAGAAGATTAATTTTTTTTGTTTTTGTTTTTGTTTTTGATTTGTTTACTTTTCTTTTTTTTCGTTGTTGTTCACGAAAACGTTTTTGGGCACAGAGTCATCGATTATTATAGTTTTTTCTTGGGAATTGGGCAATTGGAGACGGATAGTCAGATAGGAGAAGTTGACAGTTTTGCCTGACTATAAAATTTTAACAAAAAAAAAAAAAGGCTAGAAGAAGAAGTGTGAGCTAAAACAAACTTAAGCTGGTTTTTTTCCTTCTTTCTACTATTATTTTTAGCTGCTACTGATTTGTTCCCAAAGAATATCTCTTTACAGTCTAAGAAAACGAAATATTTACAACAATAGCAAAAAATGAAAAAAAAAAAGAAGAAGAAACACAAAATAGTCTGTTTTTTATTTTTCTTTTTTTGCGGCAATTTTTACGCTTTTTAACGCTGTTTCCATCCAAAGGTTAAGGCTAAAAAACTAAGAATAGGCTTCTTAAATTTTTTTCAATATTGATAATATTTTCAAAAGATCAATTTAAATGCGCAAAATTTTACCACTTATTATTGCTTAAAAAAAGGTCAAGATTTAGTAATATATTTTGAAAAAAAAAAAACAATATTTTAACAACTGAAATAACTTTTTTTTTACGAATTTAAATAAGCTGAACAAATGATTCTCGGTGATACAGCTGATGCAAAATAATTACTGCTACTGATCTTTATGCCAATATTTGGCAATCAAATCGTACGTATATTGATAATCTATCAGTTTAGTGATTGTTATAAAAAAAAAAAAAACTTGTTGTTATAAAAGTAAATTGATGTGTAAAACTTAATTAGCTGATTAAATTTAACCATTTGTTTGTAATCGGTTAGTTGCGTAAAAACTGCTAACCATTTCCCTCTCCCCTCCGTTCTCACCTCCCGTCATCGAGCCTTCCGTAGAGCAAACATACAATCGATTGGGCTTTAGCCACAAACGATGGCCAACAACGTACAGGTAGTTAGTTATAGTTCTATTTGCATTTTTGATTTCGATTTTTCGTTGTCATCGTCGTCGTCGTCATCGTTGTTGTTGTTGTTGTTGTTGTTGTTGCTTTAGTCACTACCATTACGATTGTCATCATTCTCATTTGCCAGTCTTTCAGCTAAAACTATTCTTCAAATCTGATGATAATCATGGTGAAGAGCTATAAGACTTCTGTTATAACTTTTAAAAA